CCAATCAAATCCATCTCCACTTTCTGCTGAATAATTGTAGCACTATGGGTTCTTCGTCAGTTCGATGCCAGCCAGAGTTCCTTGTCGCTTATTCTTATTATTCTGGTTATCTGATCTTCAGTGGCACTATCGAGTGCACGTAGGTGGCAGCTGTTGATGAATGTCTGTAGTTTGTTGGAAATGCTATTCGTGACGCACCAAGTCTCTCAACCACTACATAGAAGCACTGACTTGACATTAATGTTGAAAATCCAGATCTTGTTCACGCTTTATGCTGAATGCAGTGCAGTGCAGTGCAGCAAATCGCCACACTGATTTCAGGTTAACGAAGGCCTGTCGTGCTTTTCCAATCTTGGCTTTGACAACCTCATCTGTGGCCGTGCCGCCTGTAGTCGAAACGATGCTGCTTGGATAAGTAGGTGAAAGAGACTATTTCCTTTAGGTTTCTCCCGTTGGTGGTGATTGGTGCTTGTTGTTGTTGTATAGGTATCATCACCTCTGTCTTCTCTACGTTCACGTTAAGTCCCGTCTTCGCTGCCCTGCCCCGCCTCTTCTGCCAATTTGTTGGTTTTTGCCTGTACATCTTGGAGTTTGTGAGGCAAGACAATAGACGTAGATCATCATGGGCGAAATTTAAATCTTCTTCTGGGGTCGTTTCATCGATCAAACAGTGTATACCCCTCTTCTTGCTCCTCACAGTTTGCTGCATGATCCAGTCGAATCGACCATAATCAGGAAGATGATCGGTGATAGTAAGCGGCAACCTTGTCATACTCCGTCCTATCTTCACTTCAAAAGCATCACTGAGCTTCCCATTGTGAATCACTTGCCATGTAGCATATGGCTGTTGAATGAGTTTGATGAAGTTTTGTGTCACTAAAACGTAGTGTTGAATCAGCTGCCAAATTACTTCTCGATCGATGCTGTCGAAGGCCTTTTCAAAGTCAGTGAAATTGAGGTAAAGAGTTGACTGCCATTCTATCCTCTGTGCTATAATGATGCATAGCTTTTCAATTTAATCCTCACAAGATTTGTTCTTCCTGAAACCAGCCAGCCTTTTCCGGTCGTAATTTTGAATTCAGAGCACTTTTTAGTCTCTCCAGGATGACGCGGCTTAATATTGTGCTTGCTTTGGTTGGACAGGAGCATGGTTCCGCGCCAAATCTTGCAAAGGCTTAGATCGCCCTTGTTTGGGAGTTTGACAAGGTGAGCCCTTCTTCCAATCGACCGGTAGCTGCCTTTTCTTCCTTCCAAACCTTCTGCAGTCGTGGTGTGAGCATGTCCACTGCTGATGTCTCTGTGTCTGTTTCCTGTGCCTCTGGGGGAATCCCATCTAGTCCTCCTGCCTTCCCGGATTTCAGCAACTTTATGGTGTCCAGGACTTCTGCTTTTGTCGGAGGGCCTGTGTTCACTGGTAGTTCTGTCGTTGCGCTGCTGGTGGTATTTCTGGATGAGTTGCAGTTGGTGGTGGTGGTGGTCGATTGAAGAGTTTTTTAAGTGGTCAGCCCATCGTTTTGTTTCCTTCGATTCTTCCCTTTGATGGTAACTAAGTTTCCTTCACTATCTTTCATTGGTTTCATCTGTAATGTGTTGATCTCTTCCCTGCCAGATAGTAACTTGGATGGTTATTTGATATAATGTTGTCAGGTCTGTCTCTGTCTCTCCTACCTACAGCCTGTTCTGCTTCACTTGCCAGTGTGTCGTAGAAGTGTCTTTTGTCTTTGCGCGCACTCTTCTTCACTTCTTTGTCAAGTGTAGTGTTATATAGGTTGTGTTCAGTTCCTCTTTTCGTTGTTCATTCCTGCACTGTACTGCGCTGCGCTGGTTCATCTGCCCATCAGTTTCCATGTGTCCGTGAAGATCCACTACTTGGCCTGTTTTTTCCTTCCTAACACGGTTATGCAGGTTTCTTTCCACGTCGCTTTCAAAGAGTTCAAGTGTTCTTCGACGCAGGTTCCTTCAGGGATGTTGCTCAATATCTCCCATTTTGTCCTGATGGCTGACATGTATATGTCCCTTGTAGTTTCGTTCTTCAGTTTTTGGGTGGGTGTTGAACCTGGATTGTGGTCTATCACCAGCTTCTTTGGAGGTTTTCAACTTGATTTTGAAGGTTCCTTGCACTGGATAGTGAGTGATGTGAACCTACATCTGCCCTCTTCCTGGATCTTGTGTCCATTAGGCTGCGTCTCCACTTTCTTCACATTGAAATGAAGTCGATCTGATTTTCAGTGTGTCCTGGTGTCTGGTGAAATCCATGTCGCTCGCTTTGTGAATATCCTTGTGTTTGTACACACTGCCTCACTGCAATCACCAAATCGTTGGATGCACAGAAGTCAGCAAACAGTTCTCCATTCTCACTCATCATTTTACCGAGCGCTTCTCGAATCATGATGAGTTCTCTTCCTGTGTTGTCTGCTCCCAGTTTGCCATTCATGTCACCCAACCCATTAGAATGAATTTTGATGTCACCATCTGGGGTGGGGTCTTGTCTAGTACTGATTGCATTTGTCTGTAGAATTCCTCCTCCTCCTTCTCTTGATCTGCATTATTTGTAGATGCATAGCGTAGCGTAGTACTGTATGATTGTAACTTTCCTTCCTTTTGATTTGAATCTTGCTGTCATGATCCTGATCCTGTAGGAGGGGATCGGTTCCCACTGCATGAGAACCTTCGATGCTCGTGAAGGAGACATCGTGATAGCCACTCGAAAACTCAGTGTGCTCGTGGTTGTTGTCTGGGTGACAATATTGGAGTCGATTATTGACTCCTGTCGAGTTGACAGTTTGGAGAGTCCACTTCCATTCCATCTGGTTTCGCAGATTCCTAGCACTTCAGCACTATACCTTCTCATCTCCTATGCAATCTGGGCAGCTTTGCCAGCTTCAAACATTGCTCGGACATTCCATGTCCCTATGCTTACTTTAGGATTCATCGAGAGAAGACACATTGGCCAATTGGCTTCCAGAAGGCTTTCACCAATCGGCGTCATTTTGTCTCTCCGATTTCAGCAAGGAATAAGTTTATTTTTAGTTTTTTGTATTTTCTTTGTGCTTTGAAGTTTTTTTAGCGATTGGATTGGTTTTCCGGGATGGGGTTGCTAACCCCGTGGTCAAACTTCTCTCTTTATCCGGTCTTAGAACCGGCTTGTAACTAGTAGTGAAGTAGTTAACTACGCGAGGTCCCTTAAACCTATAACACACTTTAATGTTATCAGTTGTCGTATTTCTTTACCACCTGGAAAATTTTCACTTGGTATCTCTGTAAACCAGATGATTCAGATGTAGTGATGGCTTCCTAATGTATATTCGAGACTGATATCTTCTCAAATCTCAGGGAGAAGATAGCTACCTATGTTAGATGACTTTATACTTTGGCGCTTCAGGTCGGAATCATTTAAGTCCCCTCAACAATGGTGTGTTGCTTCTAACGCTAATCAACTTACCAAGGTATTACAGTTCAAAAGATGTGAATTCCATATGTGATGCTTCGGTGTGTTAGGAATTATTAAGAAAGATTGACAGGATATGAATTTTCTTTACTTTGTACACTCTTCAAGTAACAAACCAATTGTATTTTGAGGAAGTATATGAGCAGAATTTCCCTACAATCCAATTCAACAGTCTCTACTAGTCTATTTATTTGACAATATTGGTGAATACATACAAAGAAATAAATAGTTACTTGAATGTATGTTAGAATAGATATTACAGGATGGGTGATGAATGATCAGAAATGATACGCTACAGATTAACCTTACGAAAGCAATTTCTGAGTTGTAAGAATTTCTGCGTAAGTGTTTTTGGCGTTTTCTTGATATTTTCGTTTGTGATAGACTGTTTAAGGTATTAGTACTGTCAGTGTTTGCACAGATATTCGAATCATCTGTTTTATTATCATGAAGAAAAACAGAGTACCATCATCATGCACCGACGCATATACAAAGCGAAGTAAACATAAAGCAGTTTTCCAAAATCAATCAATATGAACGTAATTTAACTGGAAATTGAATCTGCTATAGATTAAATTGATCCAACGGTTCTTCAATGGAAAATGATTGGTGTTTTCAATAATGTGTTCATTATTCATCCTTGTTATTTGAGCACCTCATTTTAAAGAGTATTGTCGACAAAAGTTGCATAGTGTTCATTCATCTCTACATTTCCATTCTGTAAAGCTGATCTCATCTATTACAAATATGTTTCCAGTGTCTTTTTTAAACATCCTCTTGAATTCAAGAGCAATAAGTTAGTGTCTATATACTCTTCAAGATTTATTCCAATTGTTTGAAAGGCGTGAAAATGAAAGATTTATGCTCCATCGATATTTTGGTGGTCCATAATCTGAGACTAGACCTATACATTCAAGAGAAATGTATACAATATATACTTTTCTATTCAACGGTCCCGATGAAGAATAATTCATTTTCTGCCTCTAGAAAATTCATCCTTTACATAGACATACTTCACTTCACCACTCTGAATTATTTTCCTATCGCTACGAACCTGTTTGAAAATGCGTATTTAATAAAGTGTCTGTTCTTACCGCTAACAAGAAATCCATCCGAAACATTATGTTCCCATATCACAATATTTTGATCATACAGCTGCTAAAGTGAACTCATCGAGAAGAAACTATTATTCTTCGCAACCAATTTTCATCATTTCTGCGGTCAGCTGGAGCATGTATCGTGGTTGAAATGTTTGTGATTGAGTCGTTTCGAGTTGTTTGAAAAATTATGCAATTGTGTGATGGTTTTGAAATTATGAGTGGTTTTTTAGCGTTGAACGAAAATGACTTCCAAATTTCACACAACAAACATTTTCATTAGATAATTGAATTGGTATCTACAAATTGTGTATAGATTGATTGAGAGCAACTAAATGTTGGCTATTGATACTTCGGGGCATAGTTTTCACGTATCCTCTCTTGTCTATGCGAACAATTTAACTGTAACTTGTCTATTGCAGGTTGATAGTTCAGTTATATTATTTAAATAAACAATGAATACAAGTGAACAGACTGTTGATCGATCATTTGTAACTCCAGAAGGAAAAATATGGCCAGCAGATGTTTGTGTACCTTGGACAAGATACTACTGCGCGAAGGTTAGTTGGAAAGTTTTTTCTCTCTACTGTATTACTGCTAAATTAACTACGGAGAACTATTGTCCACCGGTATTAAAACAATCAGTTTCGTGTTTTTTTAAAACTTTTTATCCCTCATTGCAACCAGTGACTTGTTTCAGTTCTTTTGTCCTATTTCTGTGAAGTCCAGTATACTTTTAGACCGATCGGAATTTGATGATTCTGGACATTCTAACCACTTAATTTGCTAATCAATGCTTATCATCGTCATGGGACAGCAAAAGCTATGTTAACCACTAAATTTCACACCGTTTCCGTGTAACGAAAATGAATTTGTGAGAAAACTTAATTTGTCTTTAGATTTGAACGAGTAATCTTTAAGCTAGTAGTGCACTCCACTAGTTGTTATTGTGCCAAGTAAAGGAGCATATTTAATCTTACTTCAATCTCTGAGTGGTTCGCCTAGATATTTTTTATGAATTGGGCGTGTAAAGATCGATTTTTTTATCATATGACAGGCAGATGAGAAATTTGCTAATTCAATCTTATCAGTGTGCATAAATGATATTGATTGATTCAGAATGAGTTTGGGTTATTTTCCTTGTAAAAATCTTCTTATATGTCCTGAGGTTCATAATCTCTATCAAGAAATTTCCACTAAATACCTCCATGAAGAGAGGTTTTCATATTTGTGAAGAAGGGAAGGTGGGTTTTGAAATCAGAGTACGGAAGTTTCCCATACAGAATTCTCAAATCTTCATTAAAGGAACGGTCCATAAACCTATTACTAACCTGTGTAAACTGCTGAAATGCGTCTTATTGTTACATCGACCAGTAGATTGAAATTTTCAGTGGTCTCCTAGGATGATAATGAACTCTTTTGGTCTACTTGCCCATGTAGTGTCTTGACTTCTGTACAGAGCACAGTTTAATATTGTATAGTAAGGATTTTAAAGACTTTAGTGACTCATTATCAAATGACATATACTGTATTCAAGTGTTATCTTACTTGTGTATGCATTGCATTGTTCTTCTTTTATGCATATTTCACCTAGCTGCTCACCAATGTTCATAGTCCTAGTTTGTTTGTATACCATATAATAATATAATGAATACACGTAATCACAGTAGCATTTGAAAGGTTAGTCCATAGTGTTGCATTATTGGTCATAGTAGCATAGGACATAGATAAATAATACGAATGTTATTACGCAATCAAGTGCAACATGCAACCAGTTATTGTATCACAAGTAGATTTCTAATGAAAAGTTTACATAACGATTAGTTTTTATTTTGGTAACATTTTGAGCAAAATTACTGCCCGTGATCACAGCAATAGTTAGAATTTCTCTAGTAATATTTATTCACACATTTACTAGTTAATGTTATATATATATATATATATATATATATATTATATATATATATATATATATATATATATATATATATATATATATATATATATATAGTCTTTCCCTATTGCTTGTTAGTCTGTTCAATACAACGTTCTACATAGTTGTGTTCATTCACTTTTGTTGCATGTTTCAGGAGTGGCATGCATAAATATCGACTCTGTTATTAACCTTTCCATTAGTTTCTGTTGGACTTGAGTATGGTAGCGTTGTTCTAATCACAGGTAATAATTTTTCTCAGAATATTACCCAAATGAAAACTTACCATTGTATGTAAACTTTTCATTGATATACACAAGCAGTTACTTCATATGAACCACATTTTTAGTCTCTAAACAGAATGAATTGCTTACGTCTATTGGTTAAGCATATCCAGTTTTCACAGAATGTTTGCCAACACTCAACGAAAGTCAAAGATTATGCGCTAACTGGAACTAATTGTGACAATGTTTCATCATTTACTTGCTTCTGAAATACCTGATATCAAATACTTAAGTGTAGGTGATTCTCCTCTAAGTATAATAACTCATGATTATTTTTTTCAATGTGATGCATAAAGATTGAAAACATTTTCTGAAAATGCTTTTGCACATCAACTCATGTCAGCGCATGTAATCACTTCTAGAAAATTTGTTTTTGTTTGCTTAGAATATGTATAGCACAAATTTGAAAAATAGCATGAAGTACATTGAACAAGATTCGTAATGGAAAATAATTTAATTGACATCAACAATAATCAGTATTATTATTATTATTATTATTATCATTAGTATTAGTATTAGTATTAGTCCCAATGGTATTAGTGATAATAATAATAATAATAATAACAATACTCATGGTGTGCATATCGATGCTCCATTTGCTAGCATTCATTCCCCTGGCTAAATAATATCGATGTATGTATATACGCATGTGACTGATCTTTGAAATTAAAAAAAAATTTCTTCATCTTAATATTTTTTCAGGTGTCATATTCTAAATTATTTCATTCTATTTCAACATACATTCAAGATTTTTTTTAAGCCTTAGATTTGTAGTGTTTATGATTGGATTACTTACTGTGATTGTTTTTCTTTTCACGTTCAACTTGACTACTGTTGAACAATAACCTTTAATCATATAAAGTAACTAATTTATATCATTTTCATAACTCACCATTGGGATGTATTGAATACTTCATATGAGATTTGAAGGAACAATTTGCATTTAAGAAGTGAAAAATGTATTTCAAATATTTTCAAATTATCACCTCAAAGTATTCAAGAAACTCTATTTGTTATCAGCGTCTTTAATCAACAAGAACGTTTTGTCTATGCCACCTAGGGAATCTCATATGAGAAGATCGAATCCTGCGTATACAGACGAGAGGCCTATAGCATTCATAAATATAGCTATTACAAAGAAGAGAAAAGTGGATACTTTTAACAGACTCTACTTAATGTAAACATCTAAGAATTTAGCTCACCGTAAGTTCTGATACATCTGCAAGTTTCCGAGCATAAAGTCTTCAGTAAGTTAATTTACTTATCAGGTACTCCTTGCAGTCCAAAGCATTGTCACACGATCCCTTGGTTAATGAAGTTATGCTGTTTTCAGGTCAAAAATATATCTAGTTTCGAGCAGTGATATCTATGCATGTACTGTAGGATCTAGGGATGCTAGTTATAAAATGTCCTAAGGTTAAAATGCTGAACTAATGTCTAGTTAGTTGTAAACACAGCTGGAATGGCCTCCCGTTCGTTCGTTTATTCGGATGAAACTAAGGAAATCCATTGAGCCTTATTTTCTGCTGAAGGTCAGTTACAGTCTCTACCGCTGTTTCTACAATACACTCAAGATGGTACTTAAGTTCCTTGAAGTGACTAAAGTCACCATGTTCCAATAACTGTTCAATCAACTCATTAGCTGTAGCCTTAATAATGTCATCTCTGGGGTGTGTTTAGAACGACATTCCCATTTTAGTCTTTCTACATCCATTATGGTGAAGACATTAGTTTGGTCGAACTAGGTAATGCTCCAGGAGGAGCAGCAATACTCTACAACACTCAGCACTAATTGATAAATGTATGATCTGTTTATGCTTACCAATCGACTGTAGTCAAAGGTTTCCAGATTAGACAATGTCTTTTTGTGTCCAAGATTAGTGCTTGCTAGAAATGAGTAACACGGCTATAAAAAGTAGTCACTATTATCGGTTTATGGAGCCGGAATCCTAAACGCCTTTTTATCGAGCTAAATCTTGCTTGTGTACTGAAGTTGCTTGCTTCATAGGCCATGTCTGAGCGCTTTCTCTCTGTAAGAAGCTTAACAATTGTGTCATAAAACTCTTCTTTCACATCCTCTGGACTGGAATCAGTGGTTGCATAGACCGAAGTATCTCATCAGTGGCTAACCTCAAAACTAAACTATGATCACTATTTGACCTTCTGCAAATTAGGCATCATAAATCAAACAATATCATACTCTAGTTTTCATTATTTGGTCTCAATAAAGGAATTAATTATGCTCTAGGAAACAGTCAGTAAAATGTGATGTACATGCAGGTTTCATATTAGTTGGCATTTATAAACAAGAGGATATAAATTAAGGGTCAAAGTGAAAGTTCCAGTGTTGTCCAAAAATCTAACCTGCCGCTCAGTATTACAGTCTAAAACTGTTCAATATCATTCATGCGGTATTTCTTTTGATAATGACTACAAATATCCTGATTGGCGTAGATCAAAGTGTAAGTTACAAGACATAGATCTTTAAAAAAATTCCCTTTATCGATCAATTAAGTATGCTAATTTTAGTGTTTCCGTTTTATATATACTCAAAAATTTAATCATTTTTAAAATGAAAACTTGGTTTATTCATTTAGTATACTAAGGAAGTGCTTATATCGAAGATTACTCAAAAATGTTTACAACCTGATGATGGAAATCTAATCGATCTATGGGTTTTGACAAGGTAAGGTTGATTCATATGCCAACTCTTATACTACTTATAAATCTTAAGTTTCATTAGTTTACAGTAATTTAATTCATCATGTCTGAGGGTATATTTCACAGGGATAACATTTGATGTGTAGCATTTAAGTAAAAGGTGACTCATCAATTTCAGCACTCGATTTTGAGTGCTCAAACTCTGTAGCCTAATATATAAACTTTTACAGTGTCACTCAAGTTGCATCAAATTTTACTTGAAAAAGTTCTCACTATCTATTAATTCCACCTATAGGAAACACACTTGTGGTGGGTATATGATTGAAACAATGTCAATAAATTACCAGCTAAGGGGAATATTTTTGGTACCCTCGCTTTCTACCGGTTAGTATACTTTCATTATCATTCTTGTAGACAAGAAACGTAAGGCGTTTTAAACTCATTTACGAATAGCAGATCAGCCAATCCTCATGACCTTGCCTGTGATTGGTCGTCATCAGAAATTTTATCAACATGCTTACCTGCACCCCCATTGGTTATTTTCTTAAGTTGATGTCGAAACATGCTACTGTGTGATATTCTTTATTGGTTGATAGATTGTGTCTGTGTCTATATTATCCATCATTTGTTATTCGATCTGAATGTCAATATGCTACAACCTAATTCTGAGACATCTATTATCAATTTTCTGTAGGAAAATGCGGAAGTTGATTGTTGGATTGAGGTCGATGGCTGTGTGGTTAGGACAGTTTGAAATTCAGTTTATCAAAGGGAGTTGATGTGTTGTTTGAGAATAAAATTATGAACTGGTATTAGCGCTTGATCTTCTCTAGAACTTATACTTTTGTATCCACACATGACTAGTAATATGAATTGTAATTGTTGTTTTGACTTCAAAAGTAGTCTAAAAGCAGATAACCTAACCACAAGCTATTCAGTCAATTTGTTACCGATGCATTAGAGTTCACGCAGCAGTAAATGCACTGGGATACACAATAAAGTTGTTATCATTGATCCAAATATGAATTAACTGTGTAGATAGCTAGTCACAGTATCTATGATCTGCATAAATACTACAAAACTACAAAGCTCAGATTCTTTTAAGGATAGACAAACCCCATTCACTAAATAATTATGTTTTCATATTCTGTTGGTATTCCCTGCGTTGGAATTGCGTATATAGGTCACTAGATTATCATCTTTCTATCTTCCATCTGTCTTACAGACCTTATAATTGTTAACTTTCCACTTTGTACAAATCATCCAGTCTGTCCAATACTATATAAGCTAAGGTGTAGGTACAGGGGTAAAAACAGCGGGCAGATTGACGGAGCCTTGCATATGCTCTTCATGGACCTCGGTCATCAGATTCACCTTACTTGTCTATCATTAAAGCAAAAATCATCTTCCAAGTGAACAAATAATCATCATCTTATATCGTAAATACTAGTCTCCTGAATGATTACTATCTTCGATAGTTTCACCAATAAACAATTTGCCACTCCGCTTTTATAAGTCAGCTCGTTGTGAATTATTATAAAAAGAGCTAAGTAAGCAACTGATGTGATGATTATGAATCAGCAGTTACGTATAACTCATTCACGACCAGGTTTGCCCTTGGTGATCAAAGTGAACTTACGGTATGGTCAACAGCTGGGTTTCACTGTTCAGTCAGCAGAGCGTCGCACTGGTATCTAGAACGCCACTGATTTTAATCCTATCGAAACTCAAGTTTTCGTTTCACCTCCAAGCATTACTCCATATCATAAATATCAACCCGCCGAAGCGCAGTTACCTTGGATAGTCTCACCAAGTGTTTGAAAATAGCTGGTGGTTGCTGTTATTGTAAGATGTGAAGTTTTAAACTTTTCTAAAATCTCCAACTGATTATTCGTTCGTACCCAACGTACAATGAGAGCCTGTGTGAATGTAGTTTAAGAAAATAAGCTGGATTATCGAATTCACTTCAAGTAATAAGTAAAAGTAATTGGGACTCAATAATCGCATACGATAATTGGTTTTAAAACTGTGGTCCAGTGATTAGCAGTCAAAAAATTCATCGCTTTGAAGCCAAAGTGATTTCACTGAGGATAATTAAATAATTTCTAGGCTCATATTGGTTGAGTACACAAATCAACTAAGGTTAAGAAATTACGACTAAGGCTATAATAGAATGATGCGTGTAAACCTGCTACGTATTTAATTTATGAAACTGAGTCACATTCAATGTATCGGGGATTATGAGATTACTTAGTTGCCCAGGCCAACTTAGATGGAGTAGGATTTGAACTCAAGGTCTATTGCTTGGTTTACAGTTTGAGTATAGGAACCAAAAGGCCATGAGAACAGATAAAGTTGAGCAACCAATCATTGTATTAGGGAAAATGTAACCTAGGGTAAGACTAGCAACTTCCGCATTCGAGGAACTTCGTGCTCATGTAGTATGAACATCTTTATCGTGACTATCGGTCTCAACCATTACATTTCTACTCAATACAGTTAACGGAAAATCAGCGGGAAATAATTGAGTAACGAAAAAATGCGAATAAAAATTTGACACATGTGTCATATGGATTTTTTTAACCTTCCATCACCCAAAGTTGGCAACCATCGAATGTCCCACATTATCCCAAGCTGAATACCTATGATTTACGTTTCTTATTTCAGGTATAGACATCGCTACCTCAAATAGCCTTTTAACTTCTACTTCAACGAACGCCAGTTGTCGAGTTTAGTAACAATGTTTCACATGCAAAACATGTCTCAGGTGTTGTATTATTTATCTTGGTGACTCGTAGTGGGATCCAGGATGCACATTTCATCCTATTTGGGACTCATCAGCTGGGTGTACCTGCACCTCAGTGAGTGACTTTGTTCCCACTAAGGTTCGACCCCGGTACCCGTCGCTTCATTAAGTGACCTAGAATTCCGCATGGATTGGCTTACACTATATCCCATTTCACAAACAATTAACTACTTATTTTGCCACAAACCATGGATTTTATCGGGGTTTTGGTAACGAAACATAAGTAGTTCTAAACTGTAGTCCATATTTAGCAGTTGTATTCCATGACTGTCATTTACAAAATGTACCTTTTTGGCATACACTCACCATCTAATAGCAAACTCGTATAGTTTAACGATAGGTACTGTTTCGATTCTTTAACCTAGAAATTTGAAAATTAGAATATTTTCATTCTAACTGTTCAAATCCTCCAATACAAAATGTTTAGTTTTTGTCCTCACTGAGTGTATGCTATATTTTTATTTACTAGTAGTACACTAGTAATCACTGCTCTCAGTGAAGTCTTTTTTTAAAAAAAATTGTAATGTATATGATTATTATTTCCCTGAACTAGGTTCAATATTGGATAGTTTGTCTAGAGAGATAATCAGTTAATTGTATTTTGTAATTTTTGCTGTTCATTCTTCTAAATTACTTAGTATTCTGTAACTTACTTAACCTTTTCATCTGTGTCTCACGTGTGCACTTCAAACTGTAAATGAATGGTACTGAGTCATATGTATTAACAAATGTTCAATGTATTCAATGTCTGTGTAACAATATATATGTGCATACATGGTTTTTACTTGTATTTTTTCTTTTGGTTCTTTCAAGAAAATCTAGCTTAGTTGAATTTAAGTGTATACATGCTAATTTGCACATGTGACTGTATATATTTGTTATGCTTTAATTCATCTGTTGAGATGTATAATACAAGCTTAAAATATAACTTGAAAGTCGAGTATTTAAATTGTAATACTGATTGGTAAACTACTTAGTTGTTCTACAGAATAAGTTATTATGTGTTGGGCATGACTGAACACCAAATATGCTCCAATCTGGTCACTTCTGTATTTCCATGTGAATAAATACTAAAAGTATGTAAGTAACAAATCTCTTCATTCTGAGCTAGAAGATAAAGGTGTTAAATAGTGTATGCTATTCTAAGGAGTTCGGTTGACATCTAAAATAATATTATATCGGAGTGATACCTAGTCCACCAGAATAATGATAATACGAACAACCAGTAACTTGCTTTCATCTGCTTGCATAGTCCATTGCACTTTCTTGACTATTTTTCACCTGGTTGGCGTTTTATGCGCCGTTTTCAGGTACATTAAAGGTTGCTTATTCAAAGTTTAGTGTTTAATATGAAAAAATCCTACTCTATTGAGTTGTATATGGGATTGGAAGCTTGTCGAACGGGGCGCTAAGGTTTCCAAAAGACCGCATGATGAGAATTGTTGTGAAGTTGAATTCACCTGTTCTTTTCCCATAACTGAGTGAATTAGACTACCTGAAGTAAAATAGCTTGTTAATACTCAACAGTACATGTTGATTAAGTCATTACAGTTTGACATTCTAGACCACTCAGTATAACTATAGCTAATATACAGCAGTTTCTTTTTTGTATTAAGTTGTGTAAAACTATTGTTCCTTCACTCTACAAGCAAGCGAAAGCCTAATGCTAAAGTAGTTATACCTTACTTACTCTTTGTGCGACTCAAACAACTGCGATCAATATAGACATTAAAATTCAAGTGAAGATTGGTGAAACTAATGAACAACTCTTCAGAAATGTTGGTATACGTGTTCAAAATGCTCCTTACTTTTCCATTATAGTTGTAATGCATTCTTAGTTAGTTATTGTCCATTACTCTAGTTAGCTGAAATATGCAACATAGATAAGTAAACTGACATTCATTCGTTTCTGTTTGTTTAGATACATACAGACACACTATCTTTTCAGACTAACTGTACATAGGTCACCAAAAAAAATGTAGATATACAGAAAAATTATCGTCAAGTAATTAATGAATTGACCCACAATATATTGAACAGTACCAGTTCTAATGTAATAATAATGTTGGAGCTAGGTGCCATTGTTTATGATTAGCTTGGTTGCTCAGACAGACTTTGTCAGCACTCCTTTTTATGCATATGAATAATTCTGTCTTTTAATTTGGCTACACGTCATATTGTTTCATTATATCTTTCTCTTCAACCCTCCCATCTTGATATAGAATTAATCACTGGGATCACGAAATAGAGACTACTGTTTGCCTGACAGATAATTATCTTATGCTTGTAAGCTTTAATTTTATCAATGAAGACTGTACAGCAAAACGTATTCCACTAAAATCAATCAAAACTATACGTGTTGGCAATTTACTTCAACCGAGTTGGTCGGTCCTACCGTAAGTTCGTTCATCATGATTTGTTAGTTTAATTATTGTGAAAAATTGTTTCTCAATTGATTATAGGATAGGATAAGAAGATTGGGCTGATGTAAGTTGCTCGATAAAAGGTAAACATTTATGTATTTCTCAATGGAAAAAACAGTTGGATAACAAACATTCATTGGTTGAAAGGGAGCTACCCAGTTCCGGTCGTCTGTGAGGTTTAATTTAATAGAAAATCACACAATTTTGACCCTAAATGTAGAAATCGATCATACAGAAATTATACAATCTTATAATGAAGGTTTTTTTGGTATTTCACTCTACGGATGCTGAATCCCACTCTCACTTGAAACACTAGTACCTGCTGAGAGGAGTCTGTTCCGCTCAATTAATTCTGGAGGGTAATTAAAGCGTCTTTAATGTATCTGGTTTCTTGTTTTAGATCTTCTGTTTTACTACTAAGTTTTTTGGCCCTGTTACTTAGACACTTTACTAAGCCAACTTTAACTGACATAGGGTGAGACGATTTGAAGTCTGAGTAACGGTTTGAATGTGAAGGTTTCTGTAGACACTAGTGTCTAAACTCCCATCTTGTTTCCGTTTTATTCGGCAATCCAACATTGCTAATTCTCACTCTCTAATTCATAGGTGAATTGGATTACGTTGACTACTAAATTTATATGTATGAAGAAATTATGTATGTGTTCCGATTTTAACACTGTAAACGTATCATGTGCACTACGTAGAATTCTCAATAAGGCTGGTATTAGAGTGGCATTTAAACCTACAAGCTCACTTAGAAATAAGCTCTGTAGGTTAAACGATCCTATTGACCCAATTAAGCAGAATAACTTAGTTTACCAAATCCCTTGCAACGATTACGAGGTCAAATACATAGGTCAAAGTAGTCGACCAGGGCCAATTAGGTTATCCGAACACAAAAACCTAGCTAGGTCAGAATCGGTAGATCCTAGTAAGGTAAAGAATTTAGAAAAAAGCTCAGCCATAGCTATGCATGCGATTGCAACACACTACCACATAATAGGATGGGACAGGATGAAATCATTATAACTAACATAACAGGGTGGATGGAGAGATTGATAACTGAATCTTTGTTTATCGAATCAACATCTAACATATGGAACAGGAATGACTCAGCACCTGTTCTGGATTTATGGAAAATCTTACTACCATCTCACAAAGAGACGAGGAAATTAGACTATATAACGGATATCTTAAAGTTGTGTAGTTATCTTGATATGACTATGGACAATAAATTATGTCTAAAACGTAATCCAGTAAACAATACTGTTACACCGTGTGATAAATCTAGTAGATCAGTAAAAATGGAATTATATTCTACCACAGTGGGCAAGTTTTACTCTTACATTAGATACCACCTTATAATAACAAATCACCCATTTACGATGGAATAATCCTGTGAACGATTTAGGGTCTATGTGGAATAGACAAGTGAGTTAAGTTTGTAAAAGTTTACTAACTGGGATGTCTGAGGCATGTAATACGCATACCCGATTCACCACCTATCGTCCTAACCCTCTGTGTTAGGTGGAGTAGTATTTGGTTGGAATATAGCTAAGGGTGGTTAGACCATGATGTGGCATCCACCCGATGAAGTCTCTATCTGTTTTCCTGAACTGTTTAGGGAAGTAGAGACTTCCTTATTATGGCCTATGAGAACTGAAATAATCGACAACTCTAGAGAATAGAATTCAGAATCGACTGCAGTGGTACAGATGCGTTCATGCCTTTTTTCGAAATCTTAACATCGAATTCTGTGGTTCTCTTTATTTTATAGTATTTTACACTTTCTAGTATTATTTTCAATTCTTTCCCCTTTCCTCCCTTATCGACCTCTACCTAGATCTATTGATATGAATTGTTGCACCTTGCACTTTTATTTGAGTAAAGGCGAATCCAATTCTGTTCATTAGTTTTGCTATGAAGTCTATATTTATGTGAATTGAATCGTAACTACAAAAATGTCGATAAGTACTGTCACACGATACAAGTCATGGTTCATCTGTATTTCTGCTGAAGACAATAGTTCACAGAATAGTTAAATATGTTTATCTGGTAACAATCATTGAACTAAGTAAATCAGACCTAACACTAGTCTTTTGAAAGCTACACTCCGGTTGATGTATCATTATCCATTGTAAATACTTTGGGTTGATTTTGACAAGCAACATTTATTGAAACCAAAAAGCACCTCAGATGAAAACACCCTTATAATTATTAAGTTAAAGATTTTTAGGTTGGAATTCATCATGGACTGACATCAGTTGGAGGAACATTGGAATCCTGGGAGCACTAGACAGCTGTTTCGTCCTAGTATCAGACTCCTTATCAGTGCACACCCATGACCCCGCCAGGGATTGAACCTGTGACCTTCAGGTTCCGTGGCCAGCACGTTACCATTAAGTCAACCAAGTCAAACATGAGGACAGTTACTCAACGACGATACTGGATGTAGGTCGCGCTATACCATGAACTGAAAGAATTAGGAAGTATGGACCATTGGGTTCCACCCCAGTGGCTGCGGAACCTGAAGGTCCCGGGTTCGATCCTTGGCTGGGTGGAGTGCGCGCTGCTAAGCAGTCCCATATTAGGACGAAACAAGTTTCCAGTGCTACTAGGTCTCCAATATTCCTTCAACTGATGTCAGCTCATGATGAATTCCAAATTAAAATCAATCGATAATAAGGATTTTTGCTACAAATATAATTCATTTTCTATATGCCATTTTTGACGTTCTGGCACAATTTGGATTATTTCAATAACAATTTCCGATTTCTGAATCCCTACCCGTAACCGAGTTCAACTAAATTCGTGTACTTCAATTGATAATAGGCTAGATGAACCATCGAAGCTCCCATAGAACAATAAAATAATCATTCGATCATATGAGTTTGCTGATAACTAAATGATTTTTATTCTGGTCTATTTGGTTAACCATAAATGTTTCTCACCAGAATTCCTACATCCGAGCACACTAACAAAACGCGAATAGCATTTGTAACGTTGCTTTCTTACAACTAAAATATTGGTAAATAAACATATAAGAAATTAGTGTTGGTCACTGTGCTATACACAAAAGAATAACTAGCCAATTAGATTGTAATGACTTTCTCATGCGATGTACCTGTTTTGAGCACATGCTTTAACTCATGAGTTATCCATTATATCTTCACTTGTAAACTTCTGGTGTGTCAAAATAAACGAAGTGTGAAACTCAATGTTGGACGTAGTACACCTAGATTTCTGATCATATTGTATGTCTTCCTCTTATGGATAGACTTTCATAAGTGATGACATTTAGTGTACATTGTTGACTACCTTCTACTGATAGATTCATGTATTTGTCTCATATTTGTTTTATTGCATCATCATATGTCTAAACTTTCGATTAATTTTGTGTGACTTTTTTTTATCAACTCCAGTCAACGTAACTATGGGGGTGTTCAGATTATTTGGGGTGATGTTGAACAAGCGAAATGGATCGATCGGTGGAATCCAATATCTCAAGATGTACCTATGACTATCTTACATCATCATCCGTGTTTCTACTCCCCTAAACCACTGCTTAACAAGGATTTATTTGATGCTGATTTAGCTTTGTCAGCTATCTCCAAGGCATTGTCTACATTTGGGGTTCAAGTAAGTTACATCTGGTTAAGGGTTTTCGAAAATAGTAATGTTTTATTTTACCATGCTAGATGACTTAACAGTTAACATATAATGTCAGATTATCGCGAATGTCTGAATCAACAAACATATCTGAGCAGATGCTAAAGTTAGAACTTAACTTACTGTGACAAGAAATAATGTAGCAACCTTCAGGTTACCGACTCTATCTTCTTTTGATTAAGCTTCAAGACTCAACTTTCAATAAGACCGCAGTATCACTTCAGTGTGATAACTTGATTGCTGAATAATATCGTTATCGATGAAAAAACCGTAGTGAATTCAAACGATACATTGCTTCATGTCATTTCCAATTTATTTTTAGTCATATATTGTTCAAAAAAGTTAATCATCTATGTTCAGTTTGAGTAATATTCTGTGTTATTGCTACCATTCATGTTATGACCAAGCGTTGATATCACTTTCGACTTAATTCATGAAATGTGTATTTTGTTTCATTGCTAACTTGTTGTTTCAATGTATTTACGTATTATTTGCGGTCTATACATCTACATGTTTTCACTGATACTATTATGAGCTGACTTTCATCGCTTAAAACATCACTACATTTATCACTATGGAGTGTAGTTCTTTGATTTAAGAAGACGACTTTCAACCAGTGGGTCACGGGTTCGAGCCCTGCTCCACTTATGAGGTTTCGGCAACCAGGTGGTATCACTAGCCCTTACACAATAGGTATGGCTCATTGGTCTACAGCACGAATGTGCAGAAAGTTACTGAGCGAATTTTGATTCAACAGTTATCACTATCAAACTGCTAAATGATCATAGTTTGTCCTAAAGAATGATGGTAAACTAATTGAATATCAATCCCTTCTTTGAAATTCTTTGTAATTAAAGACAGTCTCTTCAGTACTGTTTCATATGTGGAGATGTAGCTAATGGTTAAAAGGCTTGACTTTAAAGCAGTGGGTTTTAATTTGATGAATACCAAGCTGCAATCAATAAATAAATCCCACAAACCTCTAAATTGAATTAATCTAATACTCATTGATGATTCGCTTTGAGAGGTGATTCCAGAAGTTCTAATAAAAAGTCGTGACCGATGGGGCCAACCAAGTCAGGCATGACAGGACTGGATGGAGGTCGCGCTGTATCGTGAACTGACAAGAAGAAAGTGGTAACCAGCTGACTACGAAACCTGAAGGTCATGGGTTCGATTCCCGGTGGGTCATGGGTATCCACTGCTAAGGAGTCCCATGCTAGGGAAGAACAGCTGTCCAGGGTTTCTCTAACGGATATCAGATCATGATGAATACCAACCTGAAATCAATAGGTTTTAACTTCAAAACCCAGTGAATAGTAAAACTTTCATTGTCTTTCGAGACAACCTCTTCAGCACTGACTTGAGTATGAAGTTAATTATCAGAGCTTCTCTGTGAGTGACTTAGTAACCTGTCCTATTATGATTAATAGCCTCCCTTGATTGTTGTATCCTTGGCTGCACAAATTTTCTTGTCGACCGCTTTTCTGCCCCACCTCTAATCTTTGAATTGTTTATTACTCATCTAACCGGTTGATAGGATTGAGTTCATGTCTATGCGCCTGTTGGTTGACCTGACTGCCAAGCTTCCAGGGATTTCTTATTATTTTTTCTATTTCCTCTGCCCAAGATCTCTATATTTTCAAAACTGATTTCATGTCCATAGTTTCCCGCACACATTGGCATAAGAGACGAAATGTTATGAATTTCAATTGATGTTCTTATAGACAATGAAGTAGAGGTAACCATTTTGTCCAATGTAGTACTGATCATAGTTGTTACAGTTGGTTTTGTAAATGGGATCTAGTTTGCCCAGAAAACGCAATACAACGAAAAAAACAATTCATTTCTGTAAATTTGTGATCTAAACTTATCTGTCTTACAGCTTATGGATAGATAGTCGTAATGATACTAGTTTGAACCCTCTAACTATATGTGACTAATGGTTAAAGAGAATAGGTTTATAATAATAAGTTCATAAATGTTGTATGCATCAAGTCTTTTCAATTTTTATGATTACTTAAGTTTTGTGAGCTACTTGTCAGTTTGGTATATTATTTATTTCACGATATATAAACGTGACATGATTAAATTTGTTGTTTCTAAACTGCCTTTATTTTACAGGTGGAATATGCAAATATCTGTTTAAATTCACATGTTAACTTCTTCACTCTGGTCTACAATCAAAGTAATCTGGGTTTTTGTAAGGATCGAAATGGTGTCAGCTTTTAAAACCATCACCCTTTTTTCGCTTCCATGACAAACTGATGAGAATTTATCGAAAATATATCGAAAAATAATCTGCACATATCATCACATCACATATACACACATATCAATAAATATTTTACTTGTGCTTTTTCTAGTAAAAGACTAATAATTTGTTTTCATTGTTACGTTTGTTTTAAAATTATTATCACTGTTATTATTATTACTACCATTATTATTATTATTATTATTATTATTATTATTATTATTATTATTATTATTATTATTACCATTTAGTTTCAGCGACTATGCAGTTACTGTTTTTGAAATTATCCATTCGTTTTTATGAATTCTGGCATACTTTCTTAACTATTTGTGCACATCTGCCTCACAGGCTGTTTCCGAGCCTTCCTTCATTTGTTATGCAAAAGCATACTGCTTCACAAGAAGGAGAGAGAGTTAGATTTTTTTTAACACTAGTAGTACATTAATTACTGTTGTTTACTCAATACTTATTCAATTTATGATAATTTTTTTCCCTCCTAACTCTAACAACTGTGATAATTTTCGATGTGAGTGCACCTTCAGTTATCTATTTCAAGTATATATTGTGCATCGAATTGTTGGTGTTATTGATTTTGTCTCTTATAAGAAACGATGTTTAGTGAATAAAGTATAATGTGGGTATTTGTTGCGTAAGCAACGCGTTTGTGTATTTCATACCTTTTTGAATTGTACTCATCTGGGTGACTCGAAGCGGAACCCAGGACACGCGTTTCGTCCTTCTTGAGGACTCGTCAGCTGGATGTGTCCGCACCCCAGTGAATGATGCTGTTCCCACTGAGACTTGAATCCAGTGCTCGTCGCTTCAAACGCCAAAATGTTATTCCCTGGGACACGAAAGCCACCACTTGTGCAGTGGGTATCATTTGTTGTTGTTTGATACGCTTGTAATTGCCCGTTGTCATACAGTGTCGACCTCTGTTGGCAGATGGGCTTCTACGCGAATGCCTCCATACTGCCGGATATTCATGATGTTGTATTCATCTCGCAGTGGAATCAAGGATATGGGTCTCATCCTTTTCGAATTATTTATTATCGGTGTAATGTGAGGCACCATATCACAAGTTGATCTAAGTGTTGGTGTCTAGAGAGAGAAAAAGCATTTTACTGCGATAATATGAAAGTAAATATTAAGCCTACATTGTTAAAGAATAGGCTTAATGAATTGATTCACCATTTCCTGCCACCGCTTACCATATATCAGTTAAACTGTGAATTTACGTATCAATACTGTAGAATATTCGTATAAGACTGAAAGTCATCACTCTTGCCTGTCATTCCATAGATCAATTTTTAATTATTATTATTATTAGTCCCTTGGGTTCCTAATGGAACATAGGGCTTCAGCAGCACGTCTCCAGTCTACTCTGTTCTCTGAAATCTTTTGAACCTGGCTCCACGACAGCCCACAACCTCTCATTTCCTCCTCGCACGATCTCCATGTCAGCCTCACCTCAGACACCCAACTCATCGCTTCCCATGGGGATTCCACTCGAGCGACTGGCCTGACGCGTGATGTCCCCAGTCGGCATTCTCAGTGTATGCCCAATCCAATCCTTCTACACTTTCTTCCACTGCATATTTGTTGGGTGATGGGTTCTTGGTTGGTTCGTTCCCAGAGCTCCTTGTTGCTTATTCTTGTTATCCTGGCCATCTGATCTTCAGTAACGAGCCAGCGTATGCAGTTGTTGATGAATGTCTGTAATTTATTGGAAATCCCTTTCGTAACGCGCCAAGTCTCTCAACCATACAGAAGCACTGACTCGACTGAATTGGTGTTGGAAATCTGGATATTGTTCTTTGTGGTGAGTGCAGAAGATCTCCACACTGGTTTCAGGCTAACGAACACCTGTCTTGCTTTTCCGATTCTGACTTTGACATCCTCGTCTGTACCTGTGCTGCCTGTAGTTGAGACAGTGCCTCCTGGATAGGTGAAGGAGGTTACTTCCTTTAAGTTTCTCCCGTTGGTGTTGACTGGAGTTTGTTGTTGGTGGTGGTTGGGTATCTTCATCACCTCTGTCTTCTCTATATTCACTTGAAGTCCCGTCTTCGCTGCTGCCTCACCTCTTCTGTCAACTTGTTAGTTTTCGCCTGTAGATCTTCAAGTTTGTGTGACATCAGACACAAGTCATCGGGGAAATCCAAGTCTTCCAGGTTCTTTTCCGCAGTCCAGCCAGCGTTTCCCCCTCTTCTCGCTCCCCACTGTTTGCTGCATGATCCAGTCGACCACAATCAGGAATATCATAGGTGATAGTAGACAGCCTTGTTTCACTCCTGTCTTCACTCCACTTCAAACGCATCACTGAGCTGAGCTTTCCATTGTGAATTACTTGGCTGGCATGTGGCGTCTTCATATAGTTGTTGAATGAGGTTGATAAAGGTTCGTGGTATTCCGTAGTAATGAAGCAGTTTCCAAATTACCTCTCGGTCGACGCTGTCAAAGGCCTTCTCAAAGTCGATAAAGTTGAGGTAGAGAGTTGACTGCCATTCTATACTCTGTTCTATGATGATGCGAAGCGTTGCAATTTGGTCTGCACATGATTTGTACTTCCTGAAGCCAGCCTGTTCTGGTCGTAGTTTTGAATCCAGCGCATTTTTTAGTCTCTCCAGGATGATGCGGCTTAATATTTTGCTTGCTTTGGGTAGACAGGAGAGTGATTCCTCGCCAGTTCCTGCAAACACTGAGGTCTCCCTTCTTCGGCAGTTTGACAAGGTAACCCTTCTTCCAATCAATAGGCAGGTACCTTCTCTTCCTTCCACACCTTCTGCAATAGTGGTGTGAGCATGTCCGTTGCTGTTGTCTCTGCGTCTGTTCTCAGTGCTTCTGGTGGGATCCCATCTGGTCCTGCTGCTTTCCCACATTTCACTAGCTTTATGGCGTTCAGAATTTCCACTTTTGTTGGAGGATTTATGTTCACTTGTAGTTCAGTGGCTGTAGGTGGTATTTCTGGACGAAGTGCAGGTAGTGGTCGATTCAAGAGCTTCTTGAAGTGGTCTGCCAGCCCATTGTTTCCTCTGTTTCTCTTCTTTCGTAATTAAATTTCCTTCATCATCTTTTATTAGTTTCATCTTAGTTGATCTCTTCCCAGATAATAACTTGGTTATTTGATACAATGTCGTCTGGTCTCTCTTACCTACAGCCTGTTCTGCTTCACTTGCAAGTGTTTCGTAGAAGTGTCTTTTGTCTTTGCGTGCACTCTTCTTCACTTCTTTGTCCAGTGTATTGTTTTATACATTGTACTCAGTTCCTCCTCTTGTTGTGCATCCTTGCACTGGTTTATTTTCTGCTTCACCATTCTCCTCTCCTCTATCAGCTTCCATGTATCCGTCGAGATCCACTCCATTCCTTATCTTCTTTCTTCTTCCTTCCTAATACGGTTGTGCAGGTTTCTCTCCATATCTCTTTCAAAGACTTCCAGTGTTATTTCACACAGGTTTCTTCAGGGATGTTCCTCGATATCTCCCATTTTGTCTTGATGGCTGACTGAAGTGAAGATTTCCTTTGTAGTTTCATCCTTCAGTTTCCGGGTGTTGTACTTGAACTGTTGTCTATCACCAGCTTCCCTGAAGGCTTTTAACTTGATTTGGAAGGTTCCTTGCACTAGATAGTGGTCTGAACCCACATCTGCTCCTCCTCTTGCCCTTGTGTCAAGTAGACTGCGTCTCCATTTTCTTGAGGTTGAGATAAGTCTGTTTGATTTTTAGTGTGTCCTGGTGTCTGGCGAGATCCATCTCGCTTTGTGGATATCCTTGTGCTTGAACACACTGCCTCTTTGCAATCACCAAATCATTGAATGCACAGAATTCTGCAAACAATTCTCCATTCTCGTTCATTACCTCACCGAGTGCTACTCGATTTATGGTTAGTTAGTTCTCTTCCAGTTTGGCATTCATGTCGCCCATAAGAATTTTGATATCGCCAACTGAGGTCTTGTCCAGTGTTGATTGAAGTTGTCTGTAGAATTCCTCCTTTTTCTCTTGCTCTGCATTCTTTGTAGGTGCATAGCATTGTATGATTGTGACCTTCCTTCCTTTTGAGTTGAACCTTGCTGTTATGATCCTGATGGTGGAGGAGACTGGTTCCCACTGCATGAGGGCCTTCGATGCTGTTGGGGACATAATGGCAGCCACTCCAAAACTGAGTGTGCTGGTGGTTGTCGTCTGGGTGACAACATCGGAGTAGATTATTGATTCTCCAGTTGACAGTTTGGAGAGTCCACTCCCATTCCGTCTGCTTTCGCAAATTCCAAGCACTTCAATGTGATACCTTCTCATCTCCTTTGCAATCTGGGCTGCCTTGCTGGGTTCACACATGGTGCGGAGATTCCATGTCCCCACTTTTACTTTCGCTTTCATCGAGAGAGAGAAGATACATGGGCCAATTGGCTTCTCGAAGGCAGGCTTTCACCAACTGGCGTCATTTCGCCTTTCCGATTCCAGTGAGGAATAATTTTGTTATTATTTTTTATATATCGTTTGTGCTTTGAAGTTTGTTTAGCGGTTAGATTTGTTTTACGGGGTAGGGTTGCTAGCCCTATGCCCAACCTTCCCTCTTTGTCGGGGCTTAGGACCGGCTAGTAACTAGTGAACTAGTTAACCAGGCGAGGTTGTTTGACTAAATGCAAGCCAACAATTTTTCTTATAATCAATTCCTTTCTCATCAACGTTATTCATTGTCAGATGTGACTGGAATGTTTTAAACAGTGGATATGTATTATTGAAACGCACTTAAGCAATCTTGTGCAGCGATAGGTCGTTAGTCACACCCATTGCAATAGATAGGACTAATGATACTATCTGACTGCCCAAACCTCGTTAAGTGGAGCGGTGTTGCAACCCTTGACTCACTGTTTTAAAAGTTTACTACCTAAACTAATAAGCCACAACCTCATACACTAGTCGCTAAGTTCGAACTTCAACGACTGTTATAAATGTGAATGTGGATTAAATTTGTGATGAAA